TGATAGTTAAACAACATATTAAGTTTAAGCAACTTAGTAAATAAATATTACTCTATTATACATTAAATTTTTTTGCAATTGCCTTGCATAATGTTTCAAATGAATATACTGATCAACATTAACATAATCTTTATATTTTTCATTTTATAAAATTATTTAGTTAGTAGAGGATGAGGAACTAAAAGTATTCAAATGTTGAATTTGAAACTACAAATGTCCAGATGTTGAATTTGGAAGAATTCAAGTTAGGGATATGCTATAACATCTATGGATGGATCCTTTATCTAATGCAATTGTTGATGTTGTCCAAGGCAATCAATCAGCTAAGGTACGCTCAGTGGAAGTCATTAAGATTGTTGCCTTTGATTGAATATTGAGAGAAATTGTGCGCAACAAGAACATAGTTACACCATTAGATAATGTTTTAGGCATTAGGCACTTACGAGTAGTGGATGGGGTTATGAAAGTTCTCTTGGATCCACTTGAGTTAAAAGGGATGCACTAAGAATTGATCGATGGGAAAGAAGTGATTAATTGGAAATGATTGCCAAATTATGATGTCACATGATAGCCACATGACTTGATCCAATAACATTTTATATTTTCCATCTTGAGGATAGTGTGCCTTTTTGGAAGGGGAATATTGTTAGATTGACACCTACAACACCATCCGCCAAATAATTAAAAAACTTATCTTAGGCGGAAGACTATTAAGGTAATTTCGTTATTTGTTAGTTATTATTTTGGGCCATACATTGAGCTTAATATGTTTAGGGTTAGATCATGTGTGTTTATTGTCTTTAATCTTAGGGTTAGGATTTAGGAGAAATCTTCTAACTCTTGAATTGTTGGTGCTTATATTTTATATATTTAGGATTGTATCATTTTGATTTGGTACTGACGGTCACTTCTGCCCTAATATTTGGAGAAACTTCTCTCGCTCCTATCAAGTTGTTACTCTAAACATATGAAAGTATAGTTATCCACCTTAGATTTCAATCCTACCAGTACACCAACTTGATCTCTCTTGTTTCACTAACAGGACACTCAATCAATCTTCTAGAGTTTAGGAGTATATGGTTTAACAACCTAAAAAGCAGACTTTTTGAGGGTGTTGGAGCATCTATTGCCACCTGGCGGGCTTCAATGAGCATGCCCATTGTTTGTCAGTAGGCCTCAAGTATTATTATTTCCCTTGCGTCGGACAATTCTTAAGAAAAGAATGAAGGCCAAGCTGTAGTGAAGGTTATTTTGATGAGTTTTTTCTTTTTCACATTTAAGATGAACGGTGCGGTTTATGTTTTGATAGTTATGCATTCTTTTTGGACGCGATAATTACAGTGAAGTATTACTATACTACTAAATTTATATGTTGGCAATGGCAAGAGTGCTGAGTGTTGGTGGTTTTTGGGAGCATATAGATTATTAAAGAAGAGGAAATGTTTCTAAATGCCACGTGAATATATTTTTAGTTGTTTTTATTTTTGGCATGTAAATATGCTGGCAAAATTGTTTATGGTACATGTTTTTGTGGTATTCAATGTTTAGCAGATTTGCAGTGGTGGGAGGTAAGCATAGTAAAATGATAAAAATTTGGAAAATACAAGTTTACTTATTCAGTAGAATAACTAAAATTATTAGACTTAGCACTTCATACTCATGCTTAGCCACAAGAGATCCCAAATGCCAGGTTGTACAATGTCTTGGGCCATCGTATGCATGATGGAGAAGGTATTGGAAAACAATAAAAAAATATAGGGGCATTACATACAGGCCACACAATTCTTATATATTTACATTAGATGTTACATATGTAACTACATAATGTCGATTTTCATAATTAAGCGGAATTATTTTAATGATATGAAAAAAGGGTATAAGTACCCTTACATGAATAGAATGGGAAATATAAGAAAAAGGAAATAACATAAAAGAAAATATGTAATAGATGTATCTCTAATTAATCAATTCATAATAATTATTCGGAGCTAAAGGAAACAATATAAAATAGAAAAGCCAAAAATAGGAAAGAAAATCAGTTCAAATACAAAAAAAATAAATCTAAAATAGAAAAAGATATAAATCTAATACTCATAACTTCTAATAGGAATAAATTATTTTCTAATATAACTTCTAACACACTCTCTCAAGTTGAAACATGGTTGACAACCATGTTCAACTTGGATTTGAAAACAATGAGCGAAAAAGATGTGAGGAAGATTTTTTGAGATAAAACTTGAAGTCTTCATACCGTACTTGGTAATCAAGCCTAAGTGCATTTAGGAATATTTTTAGTTGATTGTGATTATCTTTAATTGTAGTTTTTGCAGTGACTGTAGGTAGGCGGAATGTTTTCACAGATAATATTGCTGGGAAGTAAACTACTTACAAGAAAGCTGCAAGATATGACCTACATGGTAAAAACATCGGAGGAGGGTCTCTGTAGGAAAAAAAAACTGGAGTGCATGCTGCAGTGAAAAGCTCTAGAAGGGGGCTTGCTGCAGGGAAAAAAAACTCCGAAGGAGGGCCTATTACGGGAAAAAAAGTTGCGGAGGATGGCTAGCTGCAAGAAAAAAGCTCCAGAGGAGGGTTTGCTGGAGGTAAAAAACTCTGGAGCAGGGTCTGCGGCTGGAAAAAAGCTTCAGTGGGCCCGCTGTAGGGAAGAGCTTCAGAGGAGAGCTTACTCTAGAGAAAAGCTTCAGAGGAGGGCTTATTGCAGGGAAAAAATCCGGAGGAGGGTTTGTGGGTCAATTGTTGGGATTCCATGTTGAAGAAGGTTCCGAACTTCGCAAAGAGTGCCTTAAAAACCGCCACAATCAACGTCGGGAGATGAAATAAAAACCAGACAAACTGCGGGGTGAGATGAAGCAGATTAGGATGTAGAAAGGAAGCCAGAAGAGAAGCGCTAGCCTGACCTTGAGCTGCATGGCCTGAGACTGGGCAAAGCGTCGAATGTTCTCTAAGGGAAGCTCCGTACGAGGATGGTTGATGAGGAGCCGATGCCTAAGTTGGTGATCCAGTTGCTACCGCCGCCACCAAAGAACAAAGATCATCCTTTATTAATCTCGGCTCGCATGCACAATGACTTCTGTTGTACCTCAAAGGATCTGATGGGCACAACATATGATGCCTAAAATTTATTGTGATCTCTGCAGGAGTTCCGACGACAGTGGAAAGGCCTGTAACTTGCAAGTAGAGAATTTGTTGCTGTTGGATAGGAGAGTTCCAACGAAGAAGTCTACAGGGAGAATCTAGTGGAAAGGGATATGCCACTGAGTTTTCTGTAGTCGGACTAAAGAGTTCCAGTGAAGAACTTGCTTGCAAGAAGAATTCTGCAGGGAGTTTTCTCTGCAACTTATGCTCCTTACAAAGCTCCTTCACTAAAGGAGCAATTCTCATGAGATGACACCTTGGAAGCTGAGGAAACAAATGGTGTTCTGCCTGGAACTGTGGTTCTCCATGAAACCAATCCATCCATGACAAACAGGTGATGTTAAGCATCCCTATTGTTTGCTTCTCAAACCAGTCGTTGCCCTTTGGATTTTCGATGTAGACAACAGAGGAGAAATGGATTAGATAGAACTGAACATGTTGAATCCCACTTATAACGAAGTTGGCAATCACAAACAACAACCTTTCTACTCAATTTGGGTGAAAAGAAACCAGATAAGAATACCTTGTCCAAAACACAATTATGCCAACAATCTCCTAAAAGAGGGAATGCACCTTCTTTATGGAAAGAAAAGAAGCATATACTGGGCAAAGAGATTAAGCCTTACAAAGCACATTTGGATAGAAAGCTATGTGCTGGTGACATATCAGGATCCTTGAGGTTGAATCAAAGGTTAAGTTTCTCTCGTAGGAGGAGGAGAAAGGTTGGGTTTGATCTCAAGGAGTCTGAGGCTTGCAAATGGGGTCATTAGCGGCGGAACAGCCTACAGGTGAGACTGGTGGTGGTAGAGTCTGCATGAAGGTTATCGACAATTTCATCCGTCGACTGAAATTTGCAAGGAAGGAGACCGCCGACTGAAATCTGTAGGGTAGGAAGGAGACCGTTGACTGTAATCTGCAATAAAGGAGTTCGTCGGCTGAAGGAAACTACAAGGAAAGAAGAAAGTTTCTGACATCTAGGGCCTACAGGGAGAGGGTTTCGATGACTAGTTCCTGCATGGAGTTCCGACGGCTAAGGCCTGTATGGAGAGGAAGTTCTCTTCGAAAAAAAAAAAGAAAAAAGAAAAACTAAGAGGAGGTGGATGAAAGGCCTGTAGCACGATAAATATTACTAACTGCAAGGAATAGGGAGTTTCAAGTGGTAGGAGACTCTAGGATTTGTTTTAAGGCTGATACCTTGTTGATTTTCAGAATTCAGTGGAATTGTTTTATTGATATGAAAAAGAGGTATAAATACCTTTACATGAATACTAGAATAAGAAAAATAATAAAAAAGAAATAACTTGAAAGAAAAGATATAACACAAATTAATCAATTCATAATAATTACTTGGAGATAAAGGAAACAACATAAAGTAAGAAAGATTAAAATTATAAAGGAAATAAATCCTACCCAATGAAATAAATCTAATTTTCATGACTTCTAGCAGAAATAAGTTATTTCTTAATATAAATTTTAACACATAAGAATTGTGGGGTATGTATTTAAATTTTCCAAATATGTATGGATGATGGTGCTGTATTTTATGCGCTCTGCAACAATTATGTGCTCAAGCCTATTTGGCAAGTCATTCTTACGGTATATTTTCTGACTAGTTAAAGTTGTGAATATTCCAAAAGTTACATAATATGGCTCTTCAAACTTCATCTTGATCTTTAATATCGTCTTCTATTGCATTGCTTCATTAATTGTGGAATTTCTTTGTTATACCTATTAAACTCTGAATGCTGGCATTCTTTAGGTCCTATTTTTCTTAGCAACTGATTCCTGTGTATTTGCTTCATGCCCTTTAAATGTTTAATTGTTTTTGATGAATCTTGTCGACTTAGCTCTGGTGGGGTTGTGCTGGCGTCTCGAGATGGGAAGATAGTTTGTGAGAACACACTTGACGCAAGGCTCGAGGTTGTCTTCCGGAAAAAGCTACCGGAGGTGTGAACTCTGAACATTTCTTCTCTCCTATGGTTGTTTTGGATGTAATTTGATAATTACATGAAAAATTTACATGTTAACAGGAATTTCCTTTAGATATTTCACTTGTTGAATAGGAAGTGATACTAGTAATCATGTTAAATTAGTTCAGATCTTCATTTTCGTTGAAATATTTACTAGCATATTGACGGGATCCATTTGTGCTTTGCTTACTCTCGCCATCTCCTTCTTGCCTGCCCCTCGTAGCTGTTCCATCCCACTTGCACTAATAAATGTGGCAAGGCAGAAACCATTTTTTTTGTGTGGTGCATCAATGTGTCATTCTCTCACTGTTCTCTGTCAAATTCGTAGTTTCAAACTTTCAACAATACTAGCAATTATAAGAGACAAAATCTGAATACTGCATTTGCTCTGCAACTCATCTAAATTAAGGCTTAATTTAATTTATTTCCTTCTTCATAAAAGGGCCGAATTGCCTAATTAACAATTTTACAACCTTTGGTTTTCTCTAGTTTAGAGTTAAAGTTATCTTCTGAAGTTTTTTGGAGGAATGTATGTGGAAACAAAATTAGAGGGGAGTTCGATGCATAGCTGCTCTGCTTGTACCCTCATGATATCCACGCATTTAAAAATGTTATTATAAAATATATTAGAGTTCAAAAGTTTATATGCAAAGTTTTTCAACACATGAAAATTTTGTAATTTCAGTTGATTTTTTATTATTTCTCTTTTAGTTTCTCATTCTTTTTACCATTTTATCTCAACAAATATTTGGATTGGAAGCATCTCTCCTTCGTAGCAATGAGCTAGCTTATGAGCTGACTCAAACAGTAAAATTGATTCTAGTTTGAGCTCACATTCATTAATTAGAGGCTCAAGTTCAAGCTTGAGGTGACTAGAGCTCGACTGTACTCGTTTGCTCTCCCATGCATAATGCAGCGAAAAAATAAAATAATACTTTGCATAAGATGCTGTTTTTGCAGTGCTATTCAGTTAATTTACATTCTGTCTCTTCATTTTTGCAGATCCGGAAGCTCCTCTTTAGCGAGGCGTAAGGCCACTGATGGTTCCAAAACTCTTCATATTCTCCCTTTTTGTTGGCTTTCCTGTTATCCAGTACCTGAGTTTTACTGTCTCTATTTGATGTGTTGTTACTTATAAGTTCATATTCTACACTGTGTATGTGTTTGTTTTATTTGTTGAAATACAATAATAATCACAACTGTATTACTGCGTGAAACATTATTGTACTCGTATTGCTCCCCTCGTGATTCTCTAAACAAAGCCAAAGTCTTTATCTTGACAAAAATGTGTTTGCTTATTTTTTCCAAAGAAGGTTTTGTCCCTTCATTTCTTGCGTGCTTGCTTGCTCTGAGCTTTCAGGCCAACTGTGGTATATCCAAATCCTATTGGCGATAATTACTAGCCAGCAATGATAAAGCTTTGGCTCTCTTATGGGTTGTGAGAATTTGAATTTGTGAGTAAGTTTTAAGATTAAATTTACTTAAAAAATGATAACGACTGTTATGCTAATCCTCAATACTTCAATTACGTGAAGACAACAAACACTTCAGCTGTCTGGCGAAGTGGAATCCAATGTTGCCTTTTTCACATACGCTATATATTCTATTCCCCGCTGATTTGCTACATAACTTTTTGGTTGAGATGAGTCTCAGAAGCCGCCAGGGTTCCCAACTTTTCGCTGCATTCTGCTTTCTACTCATCTTCTTGTTTGCTACGCCTACTAAGGCCAGTTGCAGATTCCACGCCATTTTCAACTTTGGGGACTCGAATTCTGACACAGGTGGTTTCTGGGCGGCGTTTCCGGCTCAGCGAGCTCCCAATGGCATGACTTACTTCAAGAAGCCGGTAGGCCGTGCTACAGATGGAAGATTGGTGGTCGATTTCTTAGGTATTCAGCTTTGGCATAATCTTTATTTTTATTGTTTTTTTTTAATGCAGGATAGTTTGATATTATTTACTCAATCTTAGAGTTATTTTTTATTACACGTGTCCTTACTTTTTTTTGACTTCATGTTTTTAGTTAACATGCAACTAAAATTGAAGATAAACTCAATTAAATTATTAGACTGTACTATTATATTATTAGATATTCATAATATTTTTCTCTTCAAAAATTTTCATGCCGACACTTAATTCTTATGTATTTACATATCTAATGCCTAAACCTTAATTTTTACGTATATGCAATCTTACCTATGCATTAAAAGGTTCATTTCAATTTTTAAAAATTAAAATAGTGATATTTTTGATGTGATGTGAAAGATTTGGGTGGTATAAAAGTAAAAAAATAAAGTTTAGGGGTGAGATAAATACATAAAAGTTGGTTGGTATGTACGTTAACGTGCTATTTTTCTCTCATGACTGTAATTGTTAATGTTTTATAGTTAGTTATATTATTAAGGGGCATTTAAATATATACCACCGGATTCTTATGTATTTACATATCTAACACCTAGATTTTACTTTTTCACGTTTATACCACCTTAATCTTTCATATTACATAAAAAATATAATGATTTTAATTTTTAAAGAGTAAAATACATCTTTTCAAGCATTATATACCTTTTCAAGCATTATATATATCTATATATATATATCTATCTATATATATATATATACTCTTTTCAAGCATTATATATATATGCATAGATGGATAGATAGATAGATAGATACATAGGATTTGAGGGTATATGTAAGTCTTACTGCAAGTATTAAAAGTTCATTTTTTATTTGTGTTGTGGGATAATAGCCCTATTTCACATAGATGAATGGATAGATTTATAGATACATAGGATTTGATGGTATATGCAAGTCTTACTGCAAGTATTAATAGTTTATTTTTTATTTGTGTTGTGGGATAATAGCCCTATTTTGATATAAAATGTATCAGATGCTGATATAATTTATTTTTTGTAAGTTTTATTTATGTTTGGTTTTTTTTGGGGAAGTGTAGCTCAAGCCCTTGGCTTGCCGTTTCTGAGTCCTTACCTTCAGTCGATTGGTTCCAACTTCAGCCATGGCGCCAATTTTGCGACGTTGGCTTCGACCGTGCTGCTGCCTAACACAAGTGTATTTGTATCAGGGATAAGCCCTTTCTCTCTGGCAATTCAGTTCAATCAAATGAATGAGCTCAGGGTGCGAGTCTTTGAAAGCAGGCACCCAAAAGGTATGATCTAAACTTGGGAAAAATTTACATACGGAAGACGTACGCTGCGTACCTCAGAAGGTTATTCATAGGGTATTGGGGGTTATATCCATGTTATACCCCTAATAATCTCGATATAACTCCACTGTAACGTACAAATATATGAAAACGGAACTGCAGAACTTATTTATAGGTTACAGGGGGGTTATTGTGAGGTTATTGGGGTATAACATGGATATAACCCCCCATTACCCTCTGAATAATCTCTCTGAATAATCTTCTGATGTACGCAGCGCTGCGTACATCTTTTGTATGTAAATTTTTTACATAAACTTGAGATTACAATTTCCTACTCCGCACTAACTGAAATTGAATGAGCTAATCCATATGGATGAAAACTTATATATTAATGTTAAGTAACTCCATGTAGACAATTTCTGCCTGATTTAAGTCTAATTTTTCCTGCTCCGCACTCACTGAAATTGAATGAGCTAATCCATATGGTTGAAAACTTATATATTAATGTTAAGTAACTCTATGTAGACAATTTCTGCCTGATTTAAGTCTAATTTTCCCACAGTAAAAAACACTATCTGTACTATTTTTTAAGTGGTGTAACCAGAGATTTTTGTTTTTTTAGGTATAAAATATGAGATTATAACTCATAAGACATGGAGCTTTTGCTCGTTTAGCTCTCTTTTAAATTGTTTTAATGGAGGAAGATTTACACAATATCACTTAATTTCTGTATATTTACATATCTGGCATTTAAATTCAATATTTACATGTAAATGTGTCACCTTAACTATGCATAGCAAGCTCTATTTCACTTTTTAAAAGTTGAAGTAGTGGTATTTTCGATGTGATATGAAAGGTTTGGCTGGTATAAATATAAAAGTAAATTTTAGATCTTAGATACGTGAATACATGAGAATTGGGTGATATATATGTAAATATGATAAAAATAAGTAGTAGTTGGCCAAATTGTTCTTCATGCGGTTTAGAACTTATGCTACTTTGCATGAAGGGAAAGTATCACTTGAGTGTAAAAACTTATGCATTATAAGAAAACTATAGTAAATAAAAATTTTCATGTGATTTTAATGCAAGATTGACAATATTTCAACCAAGAAATTGAAAAAATACATGAGCATCATTTCAAAATGAAATCTTTTCGTGACCATCCAATTTTTGTGAACTATTAAAGCTTGGATTATAAACTATCATTTAGTTATATAAAACATGGAAATGTTGCCATCTTAGTTACACCTAATGCCTTAAAAATGTATAATAGTTGGCCAAATAATATCATTTGTATGATAATTGCGAAAATATTGCTTTTAAAGAAATATATTAATTACTATATTGCCGAAAAAAATTATCTAATCAATTAAAAAAAGATAACTTAATTTTTATATCTTTGAGAAATTTAATTTTTAGATTAAAGTTATTGGGAATTAATTTAATAGTCATTTGAACCCTAAACCCATTTGATGATACGTTGGGTAGATTTTAGTTTAATTGAGCTTATGTTAAGTACTTGGAAGAATTATTAGAAGTTCATTAAGGTCATATTAGAGCCGTTGAGTTACCTTAGAATTTTAAAATTCACGTTTTGATGAGATAAATCTAATAAGTTCATTGAATCCAAAGTTTATTAATACAAAAAGCTTTTAACAAACAATAAATAATTAGGATAGGCTTTTTTTAATCTTTTAGTGTGGTATAGTTTTTAAGTAGAAATGACTAAAATATCCCTCCAAATAGAATTTAGAATTTTAAGCACTAACTATTATTTATAATCTAGATTGGCCATCTTTGATATTATTTTTTTCAGACTTCTCCTTTTTCGCTCTTGGTCGTCTGGTTTTTTCTCATAGTAAGAGAATGATTGAGTCGATTGCATATCATCTTTTGTTTTTAATGTCATTTATAGTTGTGTAAATTAATCGAGTTTTAGCTCAAGCTAGAGTCTAAGTCTATGAGTTTGAGTCGACTCACGAGTTTTGCTTGTTTATTATGAAATAGAGAAAACAATATTTATTTAAACTAGTGTCATAATAAAATGACAAATAAGATGAGCCCTTAGTCAATAAATAAAAATAACTCACTTAATATAAAACGTAAAATATTATTTTTAAACATTTTAAATAATTTAAAGATAAAAACTTAAATTTTAATCTATTTTGAGTATATTTTATATTAAGTATTATTTAAATAAGTTGTCTCTCGAGCTAACGAGTCAAGTCAGGTTTGGCTTAAGCTTGGCTTGTTAGCTCATGAGTCATTTATCGAGTCGACCTCGAGCCTGCACATGAGTCAACTTGCTCAGTTATACCCCTAGTCGCCTATCAATCGTCATTTGCCAATCTCTATGTATGACTTCCATCACCCATTGATGTCTGAGTATCTTACTCTAGCATTATCAAGTACTCAATCTCTTATCTTGTTAGGGTAATGATTGATTCGATCGTTTGTTATTGCTCAGCTTTTGATTTCCTTGTTTACAATCATCTAGCAGTCTCCAAAGGCATACATTTGGCATTTGTTAACCACTAGTTTCTCACACCCATTTTTTAGGTTGTCTGGCCTATCCCATTAAAAAATGTCTAATTACGCACCATTATTTGACATGCTTATTAACCAATGCTCAGTATTTTTTAGCAGCTTGCATTTGATGCTTATTTTTCCATTTACCTGGTCTCCAACTAAGTTGACCACCCAAAATTGCTTGATGATAACTCTAACACATTAAGACTCTATATGTTATTACCATATAAGATATTTTTATATTTATTATATTATATTACAATATTTTCTAGTTATAGGGAAGAATATCTTCTAAAATTGTGGGCTTGGAAAGAGTATCTCGCTGAAATGAAAAGTATCTCTTTGAAGGATGGAATGTGCTAGTTAATAAAATGTTTATTGAAAAAAATGTCCCAAAAATTTTTCTCAATGACATGGTCAGTTGAACAAGGCTTATTAACTATGAGAGAATAATGCCTTTCATAGTCACTGGTTTCTATGATTAATTACATTTTAAGTGTGATTCTTGAGAGAGCTTTGGGTTGCAATCCTAATTAATGGAGGCTTGAGTTCAAAGAGGTCAATGAAGCAAAGGAACCTATAAGGGATAAAACAATAAAATCGATAGTAATGCTAATTAAGTGGCACAAGAATTAGTCTTTCTTTGGAAAGTTCAAGTGTTTGTGATTAAGCTTGATAGAGAATCAAAGGGATGCCTGAGCTAGGGGTTGCTTGAAGGGGAAATCAAGAAATAAATATATAACATTTCATAAGGGGATGTTGTAGGTATGAGTTTGAAAGTCCATGAGGGGATTTCCCAAAATAAAAAAATGAATCAACTTTACATAAATGATAAATGTTGACTAAAGAAATTGACCAGTGAAATAAGACATGTATCTTCTAAATAAGCAGAAGGGCGTGATGTTGGACTCGCACACCCTGCAGTGCTCTGTCGTAAATTTATTGCAAATAGTGCAGTTAGGTGAAACTATATTTTCTCCCACAAGGAATATGCCCATGAAGGAAAATCTTAAGGGATCAATAAACTTTGCCAAAATTCTTTTATCCTCTAGATAGAAGATGCCGCCAACTCCATCCACACAAATTCTAAAAATGTTGTTTAGCCTTGATGCAATGCAAGATAATTAATAAATAGTAAATACATGAGTCATACAATCTAGCCTTTTAGGCAGACAAGTGGACATGCACATGAGAGTCTTTATGCAAATGATAATTGTAATATTAGCTTAAGTAATTTGCAGACTCATCCCAAGCTTGTAATTTGATTGTGCATGATAGTACAGTTGTCAGCTGATTAGTTAGTTCGTTATAAACTTCATATATATATATAAAGGAAAATATATTTAAGTCCGGTGGGCCCCAAATACTGCTTCCTCTTTGCGGTCGAGCATCTATGAATGAGTGCCTGCGCCATGTACCTAATATTCTAGAGCCCCCACGCCACGGTGGGATCAAACCCTTGATCTGAGGGGACTTACAATGACCCTACCACTAAATACATCGTAAATACTGCTACATAGAAATTAGGGTTATTTTTTTAACGTTAACAAAAATTTATTATTAAAATTTCAAAGAAATTCTTGTAGTCATTTTGCATCAATATTGATAAGAATACATTGTAGATCATAGGGAAAATATAAAAGAGAATACAACTTTTGAAGTGTTAGGAGGTGGCCTCTGTCCCTGTGAAAAGAATTGGCTAACATAGCCAAATCACACGTGGGGTATGGAGGTAAACCAGGTGATACTAGAGTTACCTAACCATAACATGAAAGACAAATATTATTGTTGAGATTCAAATAGACCATTACAAACAACTAACGAACATAGGAAGCGATAAAGACACACAAACACCAAATTAGGGCTGAAATGAAAGTGGTAGAAGGGTGGCAGCAAGGTGTGTGAGGTGGATGGTGGTTAGAACTGACAAGGGCTGAGTTTGGAGGCTGGTGGTAATAAGGGAGGAGTTGGTTGCTCGACAACAAGGAGGCAGGTGGTGGATGGGAAGGGTGGCAGCTGACAGCAGAAATAGTAGCGACACAGAGTTTGGAAATTGACAACTTGGCGACATCGGGTGGGAATAGGGTGCGACTAGAGGCAGAAGAAAAAATGATAAAGGAGGGGGGCAACGACAATATACACACCACCTCAAGACGTTCTTCTCTTCAGATACAACTCTTGGAGGAAAACTCAATGACGACTATCCTGACAAAAATAAAATAAAAGACTAACCTTAGAACAACAAAGATATAAATATATAATAATAGAATAATTAGTAGTATGTCCCACTCCAATTGGGTGCCAAATATAAGGAACAAAAGATTCTTCCAACTTTCAGAAATTTTGAGCCGAACCGGCTCAGAGTCGGCTCGCTTCTGTTGTCGTGCTGGAGACTTATGCCTGCATCAGTCTCTTTTTGTTAGGGAGCTTCAATCTCATTCAAAAAAGCTTCTGTCTGTACATTGAAATTA